ACCACAATGTGAGGAACTTAGAAATCAATAATGGAATGAAAACTAGACAATTTACAAATTTGTAGAAATTAAACAATAAACTTAAGAGGAAATCACCAGGGAAATTAGAAAATATCTTGAGACAAATGAAACTAAAAATATAACATACCAAAACCTACAGGACCCAGTGAAAGCAGTACTAAAGGAGGAATTTATAGTTACAAACGCTTACATTACCAAAAAAAGAGAGAGAAAAAGATCTTAAATCAACAACTTAACTTTACAATGTAAGGAACTAATAAAAGAATAATAAACTGAACCCAAACCTAGTAGAGGAAGGAATTATGCTTAGAACTGAGATAAACAAAATAGAGAATTAAAAAAATAAAGAAAAATTTACAAAACCAAAAGGTGGCTTTTTAGCTCTGGCCTGGTAGCTCTGTTGGACAGAGCCCTATCTGCAATACACCAAGGCTGCGGATTCAGTCTCTGGTCAGGGACATACAAGAAGCAACCAATGAATGCATAAATAAATAGAACAAAAAATCAATGTTTTCCTCTTCTCTCTTTTTTCTCTCTCAAATCAATTTAAAAAGTTAACTCTAAATGGATCAAAGACTTAAAGAGCTACAACTATTAAACTTCTAGAAGAAGATACAGGGGAAAATTTTACAACATTGAATTTGGCAATGATTTCTTGGATGTGAAATCAAAGCACAGGCAATACAAAATAGACAAATTAGACTTCATAAAAATTAAAAACTTTTGTGTATCAATAACACTATTAACTGGGTAAAAAGGCTATCAACAGAATGGGAGAAAATATCTTTAAATCATATATCGGATAAAGAATTAATATCCAGATTATGTACTGTGAACTGCTTAAACTCAACAACGAGAAAATAAACAACTTGATAAAAAATGAGGAAAGGACTTCTGGCTGCAATCTTTGGCCTTTCAACTGGGATTTCCCAAGTTCTGGAGACACCAGGAGACACATTTTGGTCCAAGAGTCTTGAAGTTCAATTCTAATCCATAGTCTCTCTTTACATCATCACCTCTGTTTTACCATGTAAATTCAATTTCATATTTAAATCGCAATAAAACAATCATTAAAAAAATCTATTCTCCTTGAAATTTGCTATTATATACTGTTCATATTAGACAGTAAATTCTTGGATGTCTGAGCAACTAGTTGTATAAACTTTAATAACTAAAAAAAACACCCAAACTGTCCTGTATTATATTTTCTTATGGGTAAAATGGAGACTTTTACTTACCAAGTTGTGAGAATCAGGTCAAATTACATATATAGATCTTGCTATATTAATATATACATGTGTGTATGTTTTGTTATTAAGATGTTAATGAAAATTTTGGTCCCACTAGTCCCAGGTGGTTAATTGTCACCATTTATTTCTCAGAAAGCTGTTCCCTTGGGACTAGATATCAGGTTGTGCTGGCTGTTTTTGTCCTTCATGGCAAGTTAACCCAATTTTTAATTGTATTGTATAATGCCTGTTTTCTCCTCTAGGCCCAGGTCCAAAGCACAGTGCACTCAGAATTGCTAAATATTGAACAAAATGAAGGAATGAGCCAAATGGACATCCTCAATCAGAAGCATTTTACTTTTTTTTTTTTTTAATCCTCACCTGAGGACATTTTTTCATTGCTTTTAGAGAGAGAAGAAGGGAGAAAGAGAAACATCAATGTGAGAGAGAAACATTGACCGGTTGCCTCTCATATGTGCTTGGACCTGAGATCAAACCCACAACCTAGGCATGTGCCCCACTGGGAACTGAACCTGCAACCAACCCTTCAGCTTCAGGACGATGCTCCAACCGAGAGCCCACCAATCAGGGCCTATGTCAGAAGCATTTTAAATAGCTCTCTGGAAAGTTGCTGAGTAGTGAGGAGGATGAAGGAAGGTCACACAGGACTGCAATTTGAGACACTATAACGTTTTCAAAGAATCACTTGACATTTCACTGCTTGATTGGTTTTCCTGTGTAACTCAACATATTTCTGGATATACTTGATTTTCATAATGTCTAACCAAAATTAACCATAATGTCTAACCAAAATCTGCTGCTTCAAAAAGTACAAACTGTATGCCTCCCAAAGTGAAGTATACCTTTTGGGTGCATTTTCAGTTTCACGGCTGTTTTCTAAGTAGCATGAGTATTTGTACAGTCCTAAATTGCAAAAGTGTTGAGAACACAGGTAGCCATTTGAAAGTTTTCTTTTTAAATAAACTTTTGATTTTTGAATGTATTAATTTTCTATTGTCACTACACAAATTACCCCAAATTTAGTGGCTTAAAAACAACATAAATGCCCTAGCTGTGTAGCTTGGTTGGTTAGAGCATCGTCCTGATATGCCAAAGTTGTGGGTTTGTTCCCTGGTCAGAATCAACCAATCCAATGCATCAATAAGTGGAACAAAAATCAATGTTTCTCCCTCTCTCTTTCTCTCTCTCTAAAAATGAATAAATAAAAAATTAAAAAAAACACAAATGTATTATTTTATATGTGAGAAGTCTGACATGGTCTAATTGAATTAAAATCAGGGTATTGATAAGACTATGTTCCTTTCTGGAGGCTATAAGGGGATAATTTGTTGCTTTGCCTATCCAGATTTTAGAGGCCACCATCCACACTCCCAGTCTCTTGTCATCGTCACAGCCAATAATGGCTGGTCCTCCCTCATACTGCATCACTTGATCTTCCAGAGCTGTATCTAGGACTCTCTTATTCAGTCTGTCTAACTTTGTACTTCTGTGATTATATTGGATCCACCCTGATAATCCAGGATAACCTCCTATTTTTAGGTCATCTGATTAGCAACCTTAATGCCACCTGCAACCTTAATTCTCGTTTGCCATGTAACCTAACATATTCTTAGGTCTAGGGAATTAGGATGTGGACATCTTTGGGAGATCTTTATTCTGATGACCACATGGAATAATTTTAGATTTCCAGGGGAGTTGCAAGGTATAGAGAGATCCCATATATCCTTCACCCAGTTTCCATTAATGTTAATTAATATCTTACATAACCATAGCACATTTGTCAAAACTAGGAAATTAACATTGGTACAATAGCTTTAACTCAACGCCAAACTTCATTGGGATTTCATTAGTTTTCCCACTATTGTCTTTTTTGGTTCCAGGATCCAATTCAGGATATCCAGTTGCATTTAGTGGGAGGGTTTTCATGGCCTTCCTGTTAGTGTGTCTGCACTAACTAGATTCTAAAATAGTCAAGTCAAAGTTATCATGATACTTGTGCAGGCAGTATTGAAAGTTGGTGCCTAAAGACAATACTTTGCACGTTAGATGTATGGTCAATAGTTTTCAAAGGCCTGCTACTCCAATGCATGCTTTATATATTGTGAAGACCATTTCTAATCTTATTCTTTGATTTATGACATTTGTCTAGGAACACTGGTGAGGCCTTTTACAATTTTATTTATTTATTTATTTGAAGACATTCCAAAAATACAAAAGGGAGGGGAATGTTAAATTTCACTAACAGGATTGCCCCAAAGTAGAATAAATGGTTTCTTGGTCTGTAGAACTAGCTCTAAAAAGATGTTCACAATTGTTGTTAGGTCATTTGGGGGTAGGTAGACTGTAATTTTGGTACAGGCAAAAGTACAAAGTACTTTGAGTTTGGTTTTGGTACCTGACTCTCTTTCTGCTACAATTTTAAAATAAAAGTTTACATGTAATTCATATTCATTGAAGAAAAATTAGAGCCCACATAGGGAAAAACTAATTTTAATCATGTATGATCTCATTCTCCAAAGTTAACAATTGTTAATATTCTTTAAGCCTTCCCCACCACGGGCATATGTAGGCAGGTATTGTAAACATAATTCATTTACAAAAACTGGATAATATTATAGATACTGTTCCTGCTCAATATGTCATGAACATGTATCCATAGCATTCTTCACAATGGTTGCATGGCAGAGGCATACCTCTTCTTAGCTAGGTTCTTAGTTATCTTGTGTTTTAATATATTTTCCTGTAATGCTTCTTCAAATTCAGGCAACTAAATTGGCAATACACACTGAAAAAGTATGTAAGATCTATATAATACTTTTCAGAGTACATTAAAACATACTAACTGTGTAAGGGAAATAACAGTGATATCTATCTCATAGCGTTATTTGGAGAAATAAACAAGTGCATAGTGAATTGCAAATAGAAAACAACAAATACTTTGAGTTATTATTACCGTTATTGTCAATAGTCCTGTGTGGGAAGAATCACCATCATCTTGTACATATTTTAGATGAGGAAGCTGGCTGGGAGGAGTGTTATAAAGCTCAAAAGTGGTCAACCTGATAACTTCGACTCATTTAACTTCAAATTCCATACTTTTGGCACTGTAGGGTATACATTCTCCTTCTTGTGGCACTTGTCCTTTTAAATGTATTTATTTATTAAAGAGAGGGCAAAGGAGAGAAACATCGAAGGTTGCCCCTTACACGTGCCCCAGTGGGGGACCTGAGCCTGCAACCCAGGCATGTGCCCTGACCGGGAATAGAACCAGTGACCTTTAAGTTCATTGTGGTTGATGCTCAACCAATGGAGCTATGCCGGCCAGGGCAGTCATGTCTTTTTTGACAGCATTGCAGTCTTACACCTGTTAAGTGTCTCCACCAAAAATTATTTTGTGAAAGTTAGCTCTCAATATACCAGTTTGACTAGAACAAAGATAAATTTTAAAAATGATAAAATGATCAATTATTTTCCTATTTCTCAATTCTTTAGAGTCCTACAAGGAATTGCTTCACTTTGGGATGATTATTTGGTTGGCATGAACAGGAGGGTGAATAAAGTTAAACCACGACAATGAGTGTAGTGTAAGTAAGGACTCCAACACCTCGCAGGAGACGTCTCAGCGGCTTCTGGATTTTGCCACGTGGCTTTGAGGTTGCGCTGGAGGCTATAGGAGGGTGGAGAAAAGCTTGAAGGACTACATTTCCCAGAAGTCCACGTGCCACGTGCCACGTGATCGCCGGCTGGCGCGCGCCCGGCCGTTCGGTTCCCAGCTGCGTTCTCGGCCGCTTCCCTCTTTTTTCCCAGCCTCCAGGCCTCCACAGCGACGCGGCCGGGGCGGGGGCAGAGTCGGCGCTGAGTTGGAGCTGGAGCCGGAGCTTCAGAGATCTAGGAGCATGGAGGCCTGAGCCGGCGGCGATCGTGTCTTCTCCTCTTTCCACCTCTGCCACCCGCTCGTCCGTGAGCTGGAAGCAGATCTCCCTGCCGGCTGAGACAGGTGGGCTGGGAGATCCGCCGGGCCCCCAGCTCCTTGTCAGAGCGAATTAAGGGACACCCTCTCTTCCCCTCCCCCGGTCAGAGTCGGGAGCTGAGGGGCAGCGCTGCCACGGAGGCGGCGAAGGGTTCCTTCCTGCCAATAGGGGACGGGGCCACCCTGAAGAGGCTGTGCCTGAGTCGCGAGAGCTGCCCCACTCGCGTCCCTCCCCTGCAGGACACTGGGGCACGTAGAGCCCAAGGCCGAGGGGGTGTGCTACTCCGGAGAGCGAGAGGGAGCCCTGTCCCAGTCTGGTGCTGTGAGTTCCGGGGGATACAGAAGTGCAAGTTGATCATTCGGAAGATAGGACGCTGTTGGTGTTACAAATGGGTGTGTGATGGGCAGGGCCGGCAGTCGTGTTTGTTTTTTTCTTTTTCTGACAAGTACATTTTTATTGAGATGTAATTCACATTCCATAAATTTCACTTTTAAAAGGATACTTGAAGTACAACTCAGTGGTTTTTCTTTTTTGTTTGCCTTTTTTTTTTTTTTTAAGCATATTGGCAGGGTTGTGCAACGAACTCCACAACATTTGTATCACCCAAAAAAGATACCGGTAGCCAATGGCAGTCACTCCTCTTTCTCCCCTTCCCCGCCCTCCACCAAGCAGTTGCGTTTTAACTGAAGGGTGGAAGGAGAGTGGGAAGTTAGCTCAAGTGTTCGTGACCTGAGGGCAGCAGTGGGGATTGAGGGTAGTGGGGAGACAAAGCTGATAGGATGATAGACCGACGTGGTAGCGGGGCAGTTGGAGTGGGATCCTTGAAAGGGGAGAAGAGAGGTTGGAAGGAGAGGTGTGTGCAGAGAAGGTGCTGTGCTGAAAGATGAAAACACGGTGGGCAGAGGCCGTGGAGAGCAGTGTAACCTTAGAGAGCAATCGAACATTTGGGCTAATGAGTTGAGGGCTCGAGAGGAACTGGAGATGCAAAGGAAAGGGAATCTATAGGAATAGGTGAAATGGTTGCCGCCCAGTAGGAAATTCATGACTATATAGATTTCTTGAATGATTATTCTGCTTTGTAGTTTTTATTTTATTTAATCCTCTGTCAACTCAGAGGTAGACTGAACAAGTATAAATATTTCTGTTCAGCAGATGAAGAACCAGTCTTTTAGGGGTTAGGTGACTTGCTGAAACTCATAAGGTTAGCACATAAGTAAGGAAGAATGAGATGGGGATTAAAGAATAATTGAGGAAACTCTCAGTTGCAGGTGAATTAAGTGGTGGAGAATTGAGGTAGGACAATGTTACAGAAAGGAGATTCAACTATTAAATATATTAAGAACTCTATATTATAATGCTAGATAGGTTAAAGACTTTGTTTTTGTGTTATTTAAATACAGAAAAGTTCAAACAGTGGAATAATACAATGTCCCATGTACCTGTCCCTCAGCTCCAACAATTAGTAACGCAGGCTAACTTAGTTTTACCTGTACCTCTATACATTCATATCCCTGCTCCCAAGTATATTAAAACAGGGCATAGGCATACCATTTCATTTGTAAATATTTGAGTATATTGCATATCTGTAGAAGCTTGAGTTACTCTCTTTATTGAGTAATAGACCCACCATACCGTTATCACACCAGAAGATCAGACGTTAATATCATCAACATCTCGGACTTATTTTTAATTTTTAAAATTGATTTGAGGGAGAGAGAGAAACACCGGTTTGTTTTGCACTTACTTACGCATTCACTGGTTGACGCTTGTCTGTGCCTGACCTGGGGTCAAACTTGCAACCAGCTGAGCTACCTGGCTGGCAGTAGGACTTTTTTTTTTTTTTTGAAAAATGTGGTATCCATTTGGTACGAGGGAAATAAGCAGTGCAAACACTTTGTTGTTTGCTCCTCTGAAAGATAGAATTGTTCTTGTTTTTCCAGTTGATCACACTATCCTGTTTTCTTGGTTAATATGGTTCATCCTTCAACAAAAAGTTTGAAGAATTGTCACTTTGGCTTTTTACAGATGGAGTTCTGTGAGGGCAGAGAAAAATAGAAGTGAAATATACTGCGACATGCACAAATAACTATTATATCTCATAATGCTCTAACTAGGCAGTTTGATTGTGTTTCTCTCTAGATAATTATATGTATTGTTAGAAGTTGTTTAATGTGTGTGTATTAGTTTTCTATGACTACTGTAACAATGATCACAAGTTTTGTGATAATTGTTTAAAACAGCAGATTATTGTAAAGTTCTGTGTTTTAGAGGCCTGAAATAGGTCTCTCTGGGCTAAAACCGATGTGTCAGGCAGGCTGTGTTGCTTTCTGGAGGTTGCTTCCGGGGAATCTCCTTCCTTGCCTCTTCCAGTTTCCAGAAGCTGCCACATTCTTTGGCTTGTGCCCTCTTTTCTCCATCTTCAAAGCCAGCAACTTTGTGTCTCATTGACCATTCTTCTGAAGTCAATTTCTGACCACAGCTGGGAAAGGTTCTCTTCTCTAAGGACCTCTGTGATTAGATCAGGCCTACCTGGATAATTCAGGATGCTTTCTCCCATTTCAAGGTCCTTAATTATAACTGTGAAGGCCCTTCTACCACTTAAGAGAACAGAATCACAAGTTCCACGAATTAGGATGAGGGTGTCTTTGGGGGGTATCATTCTGCCTACCACACTGTGTTTTCGGATATTTTGCTGAGCCTTAAGAAAATAGGTGATTTCTTTTGCTGCTACAAATGCAGTGTGTCATCTTTCACTTTGTAGGTAATGGGAGTGGTTAGTGCTACAGAGGACTGTTCCCATTTTCCTTTTTAGTGACTATAAACAAACATATGGGAAATACCTGTGACACGTAGTACAAGCTTTGGTAAAATGCGACCTTTAAAAGTGATTACGTATAAAGCAATGTAACGGCATGTAAAGTTTTTCTGTATTTTGTTTTGGTCTCCTAAATATTCATTTCTTTTTTTTTTTTTAATTGTTGTTCATTTATAGTTGTCCCCATTTTCCCCCCATGACTACCCTCCACTCTTCCCACCCCCACCTCCTAATAGTCTCGTTTTTATACTTGTAATCAGAGTGTGTATAATGCTCAGCTGCTACTTGAAGTCACAGATCACAGGACAGAGATGGTGGCCATGCCCAGGGGAGAGGCAGGGCATTCTGTCCCATTGGGTGACGGAAGTGCCCTCAGCTCCACAGGAGGATGTTTCAAGTGAGGGCAAACTTTCAGGAAGATGCGCTCCTGTGAGACTTGGGCTTGAAGTCCCTTCTAGAATTTTCCTTCTGTGACTCAGCTGGGCAAGGCTGAGCCCGTGTGGGCCTGAAAGCACAAGGACGAGGTGGCTGCTGCTGCTCTTCCCTCCCAGGCGCAGGGGAGGACTCCGGAACTTTGAGGTGGAAAGGATTTCAAGACGTCCTCTCGTTGGACACCCTGCTTCTTGAGGGGGTTCCACCGTCCAGCTTATCTCTCGAGGTCTTTACTGTCTTGGGGTGATGTGTTTTAGCACCACTTGTCAGTAAGTGTAATAGGAATTGTTAAACTTAAAGGCAGGGCCAGATACTTATTTTCTCTAATAAGGTTCTTAGCTAAGCTTAATGCTCTGAACTTCTACTAAGAAACTGCTTGTAAACCGTTTGTAAATTTTCCTCATGTTACTTATTTTTAGGCAACATAACCTAAGCTAGTAGGGTTGAGAACAACTTTACAAATAGGTGCATTTACTAAAAGTTTTTTTTTTCATTCCTTTTCGGAAGTTTGTATAGCACTTTTGATATCTTTAATTTTTATCCCATTTTTTAGAAATGCAGACACCAGGTGGGTGGAGGGGTGTATGGGCAAAATGGGTGGAGGTGCTCAAAGGGTGCAAGCATCCATTTGTAATTCAGTTCTCGGGATGTGGTGGACGGTGTGGTGACTGTACTTAATAATACCGTGTTGCGTATTTGGAAGTTGCTAAGAGAATAGATCTTAAAAATTCCCATCACAAGAAAAAAAACTGTACCTGTGTGGTGGTGGATGTTAACGAGACTCACTGCAGCGATTATTCAACGATGTTTGCATGTAATGAGTCATTATGAAACTATCAGTAATATGTTATATGTCAATTTTATTTCAATGAAAAAATGCAGATACCAAAAGTGGCTGTAACTCACTAATATGAACACTGGGAAGATGTTTAAAAAAATCTTTTGTGTGACATATGACTGATAAATTTCTTTTTTAGATTGAGTCATCCACTGAATCTTGACAATTCCACCTCCAAAATATCTCTTGCAGCCCTTGACATTTCTCTTAGAACACTCTCAAAGCCTCCTGTGTCAGTTATAATTAGGTTTGCCTGTGAGTAACAGATGTGAAAAATGAGAGCTTACACATGTTTGTTTCTCATGTGAAAGAAGACCTGAAGTAGACAGTGCCGGGCTGGTATGGAGGCTCCACTGTCATCCAGTGTCAGCCCCTTTCCAGTTCCATACTCTGTCATCCCTTGATTTCTCGGTCTAGGATGGCCGCTGGCAGTCTGGCTATTATAGAGGCGGCAGGATGGAGGAGGGGACAGAGAAGTGGCTATACACTCTTAAGGAAGTTGATGTAATTCAGTATTAAACTTGGGACTTGGTCATATGACCTTACTGGCTGCAAGAGAGGTTAAGTAATGTATCTTTTAGCTGGACAGGAATGTGCTCAGCCAGAAATAAGAGTTGGTACTATAAGAGAGGGAGAACTGGAGAGTGAGGTATACAGTTGGCATTTCTAATACCATACTGCATAATTACTTTTTCTGTGGACTCCAGATTAACCTACACACTTCCCAAGTTTCTGGGTTTGAATCCTGGTTGTGTTACTTATGTGCTTTGGCTTGTTACTCAGCCTTTTTGACTTTCTCACCTGCAAAATAGAGCTAATAATTACTTTATGTTTGCTGTCACAATTAAATGAAACTATTTCTTATGTATCCGGCAACACATACTCTCTAAATACTAGTTGTTTTTTCTTCTCTTCTCTTAGATTTCTGGATGTGGATATCT